TAGCCCCCCGCGACTACACGCTTATTTTCGTTCTCGCTCCCCTTCCACCTTTTAATGCTGACCCACCCGCTCAATAGCAATTTTACAGCTCAACTCCCCAGAAAGAGTTTAGAAAGTTCTTTTAGGTGGCTGCGGGGCTTTCCTGGGGTGGGAAAAGGGGCACGCTGACTTCTTGTCCGGTCCCATCGCTACTACGGAGAGTGCTTTAACCTGTGAGTTTGTGCCTCGGACGCTTGCGGGGGCGCCTTACAGCCGAGGATTGCCCCGGGCAGTCAGGGACGACCCGGGGGGAAGGGTGCGCACCCTCCCCTTCGGTGCTCCGTCGGTAATGCTGATTTTCAGGGCAAGAGGAGGACAGAGATTTACCGATGGGGAGTCGCCGGATCTGCCTGTTCCGAGGGCATTTGGCAATGTTTCAGCATCTCTCAGGGGAAGGGAGGGCTAAGGAAGAAGAGGGTGTTTCCCGCGTTATCAAACGAGGCGAACGATGTCGCCGGTGGGTTATAACGGAGCGGTGTTGTCCTGCAGGGCATACGCCGGGCAGAGCAGAGGACAGCCCGGCCTGGTCGTCCTGCCCCTTCCCCGCCGCCCTGCTTGCCTCCCGGAGCTCATGCCCCATCCTTCCGCTTGATTGTTGCGATGAAATTTACTTTTTTTTCTATCGCCTCTGACTCCTGAAGTAGTATTGCAGAGTCAGCCAAAATTAGCACACGCAAACTGTTTTCTGTTTGTTTTTCTCCCCATCTGTCTGTCCGCCTGTCATTCATCTGTCTACCTGTCCCTCATAATGAGTTTGCACAGCTATTCCTCGCGTACAAGATCTCATAAAGTCGGATCAGTAGAGGGGGGAAAAAAAAAAAAAAGAGCTTGCTTCATTTTTAGCGTGTTTTAGACGCCTTACCCGGCAAAGCCCAGTTCTCAGGAGTTTGAAGGCGTTCCTCCCTCGGTGCTCCCGCAATAACGGATTCATTTTTTTCCCTTTCTTGGGAACAACAGGGTTTGGCTAGTTGGGAGGAAAGGCTCGGGATTTTGGGTGGTTGGGGTTTGTTTTTGTTTCCTCCTGCTTTGTATTTTTCTTCATTGAAACAGGGGTTGTAGCCCGCAAAGCTGAGCGTG